TCAAACTTCTGACCTCATGTGATCTGCCCGCCTCAGCCTCCCAAAGTGCTGGGATTACAGGCGTGAGCCACTGCGCCCAGCCAGATGTCCTACTTTCTACGTTCTTTACTTGAGTACAAATACCTTAGTCTTTTTCATTAAGGAGGCAGCAAGAGTTAGAAAAGGTGATAGTGTTACAAGTAGGAAAAACACATGAAAGCCTCCAACCCCAAGGCTGCGTATCAAACGGCAGCCTCCTGTGAGGAGTGAGGCTGTCCTTTGCCTCCTGCCTCTTTCCCAAACCTTCTGGGTGTCCTTTTCGGAAACCTCTTCATTCCTTCATTCTTTCCCTCCTCTGAGCTCCGAAATCTTTTATTTGTGCATTCATTATGACGCTTATGACTCTCTGCATTGAAAAAGAAACATCTCTCCTATCTCTATTATTGCACTATAAAGCCCTTGAGGACACAGAATCTTTTGATATCCTAGGGTGTCTATCACGAAGTCTAGCACAGAGCAGCCAAATAAACATACTTTGAGCAAACATCAGTTTGTTCTTTTTTGCATGCGGAACATGCGTCAGTTTGTGCTTAAGAGAATAGTTCGGCCGGGCGCGGTGGCTCAAGCCTGTAATCCCAGCACTTTGGGAGGCCGAGGCGGGCGGATCACGAGGTCAGAAGATCGAGACCATCCTGGCTAACACGGTGAAACCCCGTCTCTACTAAAAAAACTACAAAAAAACTAGCCGGGCGAGGTGGCGGGCGCCTGTAGTCCCAGCTACTCAGGAGGCTGAGGCAGGAGAATGGCGTGAACCCGGGAGGCGGAGCTTGCAGTGAGCTGAGATCCGGCCACTGCACTCCAGCCTGGGCGACAGAGTGAGACTCCGTCTCAAAAAAAAAAAAAAAAAAAAAAAAAAAAAAAAAAAAAGAGAATAGTTCAACTTCAGAGACATCCATATATAAACATGGAGAGATTCCAGGCAATGCCCTCTCTGTACAGGTTTCTGTGCTCTTCATCTAAGCCTCCACTGTATCCAACTAGAAGGCTGAGAATCACAGAAAAACATTTCCCTACCATTATTCGTGTACTAAGGAGGCACGGTTGCCACCATAAACGGGACTTGCTGGTGGCATTTACAGCTTCTCAGGTGAGGTGGCATTCTGACCAGATGCCAGAAGGCTTGCGACATGGGACAGATATGCTGTTCTGTGCACTGTCACACCTTTCCTGGATCCTTTCCCTTCAGAGCTGTGTGCTCTATAGGTTAAAGATTTCCTTTTGTGTTGGACTGGTAATGAACAACTCCACTGTTGGTTGTATTTTAAAATTTTATATAATTTCAATCTTACTTGCAGAACAGTATAAAGTTCTAAATACCCTTTAAATTAACTATTGTATTTTCCTCCATTTACTTTATTATTTACTTTGCCTCCCAAATTTCTTCCTTGCCTACCCCCATGTGTGTATGCACATATATTTCTTTCTGAGCCTTTTATTTATTTATTTATTTGAGACAGGGTCTCACTCTGACACCCAGGCTGAAGTGCAGTGGCATGATCACAGCTTACTGTGGCCTCAACCTCCTGGACCAAAGCGATACTCCTGCTTCAGCCTTGGGAGTAGCTGGGTCCACAGGCACATACCATCATGCCCAGCTAATTTTTTTTTTTTTTTTTTGGAGAGATGGGGTTTTGCCATGTTGCCTAGGCTAGTCTCAAATTCCTACACTCAAGTGATCCTCTCGCCTTGGCCTCCCAAAGTGTTGGGATTACAGGCATGAGCCATCGCTCCTGATCTTTCTGAGTCATTTAAGAATTGCAGACATCATATTCTTTTACTCCTAAATATTTTGGTATGTCTTTCCTAGGAACATAAACATTCTTTTACATAACCATAGCACAATGACCAAAATCAATTTATTTAGTCATTTGTTCATATCCGCAACATACATGAAATAGCTCCAGAATTTTTTCATTTGATCAAGTATCTTATGTGGCTTTCAGGCATCTTTTACAACTCTCCTTATACAGGTTTTGCACATTTTGCACTAAATTTATACTTAATTTTTTTTTTTGCTGTTATAAATGGGATTTTCTCCACCATCGTGTCTTCTAGATGTTATAATGTGTGTATATGAGAGCTACTGATTTACTGATTTCTACATGTTCATTTTATAACTTGCTACCTTACTGACATGGTTTGTCTCTGTGTCCCCACCCAAATCTCACCTCCAATTGTAATAATCTCTATGTGTCAAGGGTCAGACCAGGTGGAGATAATTGAATCACGGGATGGTTTCCGTTGTAGTGTTCTTGTGATAGTGAATTCTCATTATATCTGTTTTTTTTTTTTTTCTTTTTTTGGAGACGGAGTCTCGCTCTGTCACCCAGGCTGGAGTGCAGTGGTGAAATCTAGGCTCACTGCAACCTCCGCCTCCCAGGTTCAAGCGATTTTCCTGCCTCAGCCTCCTAAGTAGCTGGGACTACAGGCACGTGCCACCACACCCGGCTAATTTTTGTATTTTTAATAGAGACAGGGTTTCGCTATGTTGGCCAGGCTGATCTCAAACTCCTGACCTCATGACTCACCCACCTCAGCCTCCCAAAGTGCTGGGATTACAGGCGTGAGCCACCGCGCCTGGCTGATATGATGGTTTTATAAGGGGCTTCCCCCTTCACTCAGTGCTCATTCTCTCTCCTGCTGCCCTGTAAAGAGGTGCCTTCCATCCTGATAGTAAGTTGCCTGAGGCCTCTGCAGCCATGCAGAACTGTGAGTCAATTAAACCTCTTTTCTTTATAAATTACCCAGTCTTGGGTATCTCTTGATAGCAGTGTGAAAACGGACTAATACACTAATCAAAATTTTATGGTTAGTCTTATCGTTGACTCTTTAGGGTTTTCCAGGTATTCTCTCTTGTCATTTGCAAGTCGAAGTAGTTTTACTACTTTTTAAAATTCTCAAAATGTATTTTTAAAATTTTATATATATTTTTCGAATTCATAAGCCTCTTATGATTTCTGTTGTCTAACTTCATTAGCTGATACCTTTGGTGTAATGTCAAAAAATCATAGGTAGAGTGAGCATCGCTGCCTTGTTTTCTTCAATCGGCTCTTAAAAGACCATGTATACAAAAAGTATTTTGAAGGACAGATATAACTCTAGTGTGAGAAATTTCTGGACATTTAGCTGGCAAGATGAGATTATGGCCCCTCTTGTGCCTACTAACCGGAATAACAAACAAACAAATGAAACTTCAGCAAAAAAGGGCAAAAGTACAAATTTGATTTTATAGTAGTTCATTAAAAACATTTGAGCCAGACCTCAGTTCTACCTTTTTTCTTTAAAGGATTTCTAACTAATAATTTTGCTCTTTACTCAGTCATTCATCTAAGACTTATAGAATGCCTATAATATTCCAGACATTATCTTAGGTTCTTTCTCACTTTTTACTACACCCATGTGAAATAGGTATTAGCTTCATTTCATAAAAGGACATTGGAGTTTGGAGTGGTTAAATGACTTACCCAAAGTCACACAGTAAGTATAGACTGATTTTGAATGTGGGTCTCCTAGTTTGAATTTTTATAAGTACTCAATAATAAATAATAACTAAAAGTTATTTAGTGTTTACTGTTTTACATACTTCATTTATATTGATTGGTTTAATACAACCACCAAATGGCATTTTCATCTTTATTGTCTGTTTTTTATAGATGAGAAAACTGATCGCACAAGTAGCTTGCCAAAGATCACAGGCAATAAAGAAGCTGAAATTGTCTTCGGATCCCGTGGTTAAGAAACCAATCACTACAGTATTCTTCTTTCAAAGAAACGAATGAAGTTCTAGGATCATGAAAGATGGAGAGTATTCAATCTCCTGAATGTAAATCTACAACCATTACTTACCAAGTTTAAGTTTTTCTGTTGTTACTTGAGGCAGTGGGTGATTATGCAACTGGTAAAGGGAACGAAAAGGCCTTGCACTCAAGAAAGTAGAAGGTGCCTGAATCTCTTTATGATAGGTGGTATGTTAAATCTAGGTGTTTTCGTATTTCAACATATCCCACTTCTTGCAAAAGCTGCAAAATGCAACACAACTTTAAATGTAAACATAGCTTCCAAGGGCACAGTGCTGAACATATAATAACCCGTGTGTGCACACCCACACTAGGTTATGTAACAGGACTGTAAACACTGGTCCTGGAATGGCCTGGGAGGTCATCTAGGCCCTCTGCCATCTTTCTGCAGAGTACTGAAGCCTAGCTACGTTGTCTGCAGACTCACAAAGATGACCCCCGGCTTATACTGCCTTAGGTTACCTAATACCTTTGTTTGCATTTCCTCTCTCCTTTCCTGTCTGCTTGTGCAAAAGAAAAAAGGCCTGGCTTCACCTTCTTGGGAGCCAAAACACAACCAGAGAGCGAGTTTGGAGCCCGGTCAGGCATCTTGCAAACTGCACACAAAATAGCCCAAGGTCAGAGAGCGCGCCAGGCCCGTCCTGAAAGTTTCTCCGCAGGAAAATCCGCCGCTCTTTCCCAACCCTCCGCGTGGGTGGCTCGGAAATCCGTCACCCTGGGGACACAGCTCCCTGCCCATCTCTGTGGCCCGCTTGTGCCTCGTGCCGCTGGGCCAAGAGCCTCGGGCTCGCACCTCTCAGTACAGCCTAGGGACGTCAGGCGTCCTGGGACCCAGTAGGCGCTCTCTGCCGGCCCGGGCGTGGCCCCTCCTAGCGGACCCAAATGATCTCCTCCAGCCTCAGCCAGTGCGCTGGAGAGACGCGGCCGCCAGCCGACTGCGCTCCAGGACTATCCCCATTGGGCCAGAGAATGAGTGACGCACTAGGCCCCGCCCCGCCCTGGCGGGTTACTCCTTTCACGCCCGGCCCCCGTCCCTAGCCCCGCCCCGGCGCCCCCGGCTGCGTCCGCGTCGTCATCTGCGCTCCGGACGCTGACGTGTCTGGGCGGTCGGCTTCCACTCCTCCGGGCGCCGGCAGCCACTAGTCGTGGCGAGAGGGGCGGGGTGGCCGGGGCTGGCGTTCCCCTTGGCCCCCGCTCCCGGCCCGCCCCGCCGCCGCTGCCCCCCGGATGAGGGTATATATTCGGAGCGGGCGCGGGACGCAGATGAGTGGCCGCGCGGAAGGAGCTGGAGACAGGCGTAGCTGTGGTCGCGCCGAGGAAGGTGAGGAGCTCCCAGCCCAGCGAGGGGACGGCGGGGCCCTGGACCCGGGCGGGCGGAGGACCTGGCCCCGCCGCACACACGGCCATGCGCTCAGACGTGGACACGCGTCGCACGAACGTGCACAGCGCGGGCAACCGAGCACACACACACCCCAGCCCGTGCGCCCCTCCGTCGCACCCGGTCGTCCGCCACCCGGCGAAAGGGTGTGTGGGCTGGGCAGCCGGGTGGATGGCGGGGCCAGGGATGGAATGATCTCGCCCCAGATGGACTGGGGGCGTTGTGGGAGGAGGTCTGGGCCAGTGTCTGGAGTCCGAGGGGGTTGTGTAGGCGTGTGGGGTTGGGAGTGGGGCCTTTCCCAGGTGGGCACTAGAGACCTCGAGGCTCTCAGGCTAGGGCCTTGTGGACAGTTATACCAAGTGTGGGGGCCTCCAGTGGGACAGGAGATCGTTGGAACTGTCAGGTGGAAGCGAGTTCGTGTGTCTTGAATATGAGGAAAAGAATTGAGAGCTCTGACAAGGACGGGATACATTTGGAGGACAGGACAGTGGGACAAAACCTGTTTGCTTGCCACTTTTTTCTTTCTTTTTTTTTGGTTTGGTTTGCCATGATACTGGTAGTGAGAGAGAATTGAAATTTCTGGGTTTCCCCTTGCTTGGCCAAACAGAAGGATGGTATTGGAGGGCTAAGTACACATATGCTGAACATATGGCTGCTTGAACTTTGGCCTGACGCTGTGCTACACTTACTTCTACATGGTTTGTGAAATCTGGAATCAGGTAATAGGATTATGATCATATGTGTGTGTCATTTGGTATTGCGAAAGTTTAAGGACTTTTAGGTGAAATTCACTGGGTGTGGACCCAAGAGTTCGCTGGAAACTCAAGGCAGTTGTCTGTTCCTTCACTGTTAGTCAGTTGGCTCGCTTAGCTGGAGCTAAGAAAGACTTCTTAGGCTGTGCTGCCAAGCATTTATAGGATTCAGTTGGTGGTTATGTCTCAACGCTGATACTGTGTTTTAAAAGCTGTAAAAGGTTTACTTAATCATTTCGAGGGCATACATATACCAGCAGAGATAGGGGCCGGGTGGGGGAGGCCAGAAAAGGAGGGAAAAATACTGGATTTCTTTAATACTGGTATTTAAATTCTAATAAAAATATATTTGATAATGGTAGATTATTACCAAATTTGTCATATATTTTGTTGCAGATGTATTAGGCTGTGGGCATGTACCAAGTTTTGTTATAATTTCTAGAGCAGATTTTCAACTTTTTCAGTTTTCGGTTGTCAAAATAAAAATTCTTGTCTTTTAACTCTTCTGTTCATTGCTGCTTACCATTACACACACATGCCTCTAAACATCGTTAATGGGAAATATGGTACTATTTTTGTGGCATGAAGATGCTTATATCTGCCTCAGATAAATATAATAGGTGAATTGTGTTTGTCCAAAACTCAAGTATGGTTGTTACATTATAAACATTATACAACATGTAAATGAGTACATGTGACCAGTGGTTTAGGTCCAGATATCAAAGTTTAACCTATGAGGTACCTTTTTTTTTTCCTTTTTTGAGATGGAGAGTCTCACTATGTCGCCAGGCTGGAGTGCAGTGGCGTGATGTGTGCTTACTGCAACCTCCACCTCCCCCGTCCAAGCGATTCTCCTGCCTCAGCCTCCAGAGTAGCTGGGACTACAGGCACGCACCACCGTGCCCAGCTAATTTTTGTATTTTTAGTAGAGATGGGGTTTCACCATGTTGGCCAGATGGTCTCCATCTCTTGACCTCGTAATCTGCCCGCCTCAGCCTCCCAGAGTGCTGGGATTACAGGCGTGAGCCACCGTGCCCAGCCCTATGAGGTATCTTATTTGCATGGATTCATTTTTCCAGGTGTCTGAAGGTGGAGGAGTATCTAATGACCTTTTAGAAAAGTTTGGTTTATATCTTAAAATGTTATAATAATATGTTTGTGTATGCCTTTTAGCAGACAGAGCACTCTTTACTCTTGACTCTCTTGAAGGCATGAGAGAAAGGTTGGTTGTCTTATATTCATGAGGAAGTATATGCACAGGGAGGTAAAATGATTGCATAGAATCAAATGATGGAGAAGGACCAAGGACAGGGACTTCCTATTCTTTGGTTATCTGGTTCCTTGCTGATCTTCCTATTACAATGTTCTCTCTTAAATCAGAGGCAAAGCGGTAGCATAAATGAGGTCTTGGGAAAAACTACATTCTTTGGAAAATAATTTAATATAAATCTGTTCCTCTCAAGTGTCTTTCTTAATGTGATTTTTAAAAATTACAAAATAATAGCATCATGACTCTTGAAACCTATATAAATCAATAGGAATGCCTTTTAATACCATAACGAACAGTGAAAGCTAAGTGTTGTTATTACCACCTCAGGGAACACACAGATGTAGGTTCTCTAGACCTGAGCTTGTAAATGGTGTTTGGTGTTTAATGATCCTGGTGAGGTAGATACTATTATTAATCTCATTTTACAGACAAGGTAACCGAGGCATGGGAAAATTAAGTAGCTCAGCTGAGCCTAGAATTGTGCTCTGAACTACCATGTGTATTACTTTTCACTGTTCTCATAGAAGATAAGTGTCTTTAGTACCTACTTTTTCCCTCTGTCCCTCACATCGAAGCAATTATAATGCAGTGATGATTCTTTACAGTGACCCTCAGATTTATTCCTTTCACTCTTATTTTCTCTGCCACTAATCTGGTTCAGACCTTTGGTATTTCATACCTGCAATTGTCTTTTAACTTCTTTTCCTGCTTCTAGTTGTCCCTCCTTACAATCTATTGTATGCCATTGCTCCTTTCTCTCATCTCTTTAAAGCATGGTAACGCTGCCCTGTTTGAGAATCTGCTGTTCACTTTCTATTACTTCTTCTCTAAAGTCTAAATTCTTTTGGTTAGTTTTCAGACTCTTCATGATCTAGCCCTACCCTAGGCCATTTTATGTCATTTGTCATACGTTAACCTTCTTACTGCTTTCCATCCCACACATGCTTGCTCCTTATGGCCACCAGGCTCTGCTTGTTTCCTAATCTTTTATTTTTTTGAGATAGAATTTCCTGTTGCTGAGGCTGGAGTGCAGTGATGTGATTACGCTTCATTACAGCCTCGACCTTCCGAATTCAGGTGTTCCTCCCACCTCAGTCTCCTCAGTAGAGTGGCTGGGACTACAGGCATATGTCACCACAGCTGGCTGCTTTTTGTGTTTTTTGTGGAGGTGGGGTTTTGCCATGTTGCCCAGGCAGGTCTTAAACTCCTGAGCAGAGGCCTGTGCTGGGATTACAAGTATGAACTACCATGCCTGGCCTCTAATCTTATCTATGTAGTCTGCCCAACCTTTAACATATGGCTAGATCATGCCTGTTTGTGAACTTTCTAGAAAACACCTATCTCCTGTTGCATTTGTCTATATTGGGCAAGTAGATTAAATATTTCCTCATTTTCTTATTTTCTAGCACTATGAAGTTTAACATTTTACTATATTATCACAGAATATAGCTCTTTAGAAACCATTTGTCTTATTCACTGATTGTTATATGTATATTGCTTGTCTCTTTAAGGAGGACCCAAGTTTTTAGTGAGTAGAGACAATAGATGTGTTACTGCTTCTTTGCAGAAGTTGCTAATGAAATGAAATGTATTTTTCCTTATTATAGGTAGTTCTGCCTTCCTGAATATTTCGGTATACTGACTACAACAACACTTAATAGTATTTCTATCATTAGAGATACAAGGAAAACATTTAAATATTAAACAGTCAAGTGTTCTTTCAGTGGTAGCTTAGTAGTCGGAGGACTAATACAGAGACAACTAAATGTGGTAAAGAGTGTGAGCCATGTCATCAGGCTGCCTGGGTTCCTATCCCAGCTCCACTCATTAGTTAGGTTACTTAGCCTCTCTGCCTGTCTTCTCAACTGTAAAAGAGTGGTAATAATAGTGCCTATGCCATAGAGTTGTTGAAAATTAAACAAGACCATGAAGGTAAAGTACTTAGAAGTGCCTGGTGCATATTTTTGTCTTACAGGTTTGATTTCTTACAAATATTGAGTGATGGAAAAGCAGAAGTTAATTTTTTTAACATCAAGTTTTAAAAATATTCTTATTTTAGAGGGGAAAAACCCCCTCAATTTTGGAGGTTGAATTTTGACGTGCCATTAGTTATTTTTCTCTTTTCGGTTTATAGGTACGTACATTACACCCCTATTTCTACAAAGCTTGGCTATTAGACCATTATGAACATTAATGACCTCAAACTCACGTTGTCCAAAGCTGGGCAAGAGCACCTACTACATTTCTGGAATGAGCTTGAAGAAGCCCAACAGGTAGAACTTTACGCAGAGCTCCAGGCCATGAATTTTGAGGAGCTGAACTTATTTTTCCAAAAGGCCATTGAAGGATTTAACCAGTCTTCTCACCAAAAGAATGTGGATGCACGAATGGAGCCTGTGCCTCGAGAGGTATTGGGCAGTGCTACAAGGGATCAAGATCAGCTCCAGGCCTGGGAAAGTGAAGGTACTGGGCATGTACATATTTCTTCTGAAGTTTATTTGAGATAACTAAAATTGTTCAGGTAGCTGGATGATGTCACTAATATTTTGATTCATACTACATTAAACCAGGTGATCTAGCAGAAAGTGACAAAAATTGTCTTTTTGTTTTTGATGCTCCATTCAAGGCTTCTCTCATTCAAGTCTTAATTTGCCTTCAGTCTCTTTCCCTCCTTAGTTTCCATACTTCTGCTAGATTTCTTTTCCCGAAGCACAAGTTAAATACTTAAGTTTAAGCTGGCTTAATTATTTTTTTTTAAGACAGAGTCTCACTCTGCTGCCCAGGCTGGAGCGTAGTGGGGCAATCTCAGCTTACTGCAACCTCTACCTCCTGGCTTCAAGTGATTCTCCTGCCTCAGCCTCCAGAGTAGCTGGAATTATAGGCATGCACTACCATGCCTGGCTAATTTTTGTATTTTTAGTATAGACAGGGTTTCACCATGTTGGCCAGGCTGGTCTTGAACTCCTGACCTCAAGTGATTCGCCTACCTCGGCCTCCCAAAGTGTTGGGGTTACAGGTGTGAGCCACTGCGCCTAGCCCAGCTGGCTTAATCTTTAATGCCTTAACCTGACCCTAACCCATATTTCCAATCAACATTTTAGCTGAACCAAATAATTCGCCTTTCCCTGAAATAATTCACCTTTCCCTGCCTTTGCTCATGTTTATCCTTAGCTTGATGTGCCCTTTGCCCTTTCTCTACCTAGCTAGGTCACCTTGTAAGGTCATTTCTTGGAGTTGTACAGTGCAGTAGTTCTGCCACTTGGGGAACTTACACTCATTCATTAAGGTTCACCACACATAATATTTGATCTATGACCTTTTCTTCTGTGTCCCAAGTTACAATTAGTTGTTCATGCTTTTATTTCATTCTAGCTTATCATAAGAGGTGTTTGTCTTCCTTAGTACATTGTAAATTCTTGAAGAGCAGCCCGTGTACTAGTTGTCTCTGCATGTTACGTAGCATTTAGAACAAGAGTTTTATAGTTATAAGTTGATCAATAAGTGTTTGTTGAATTGCCCCAATGCTTTTCATTCTAAAGCATGTAAAAATATCTGTCCCCTTAACCTAATACTAATTTGTGCTTTTGAGAATGACAAAATAGCTCAACTGTAGCTTTTGGTGGAGTTGAAGCTGTGCTTTTTATAATCTATTACTCCTTCGTAAGTAAAATGTTGACTAAATATTGTAGGTGATTCCCTGAGTGTTTGTACATGATCCTTGTCACATCTGGGCCTCATTTTCTCAACTGTGAATGAGAGCTTGGGCGAATACTTTCCTTAACTTTTTAAAATACATTATTTTATTGCAAAAATATTGTTGAAATAACAGATTGCCCATAATCTCATCAAAGCTATATTTTTATTTGCTCACATTACCACCCAGTACTTGATTGTATACTTATTTTTTTGTTTCTTTGTGCTTTTTTTTTGAGACAGCCTCACTTTGTTGCCCAGGCTGGAGTGCAGTGGTGTGTTCCTCACTCACTGCAACCTCTGCCTCTTAGGCTTAAGCAATACTCCTGCCTCAGCTTCCTGAGTAGCTGGGATTATAGGTGTGAACCACCATGCCTGGCTAAGTTTTTGGTATTTTTAGTAGAGAGGGGGTTTCACCATGTTGGCCAGACTGGTCTCCAACTTCTGACCTCAAGTGATCTGCCCACCTTAGCTTCTCCAAGTACTGGGGTTACACGTATGAGCCAGTGTGCCGGGGCAGATTGTATATATATTGGATTTCATACATGTGTAGTAATGCTATACATACAATCTTATAGTCTGTATTTATAACATGGCTATTTTTATTTTGTTTTCCACTCTTTGGCATCCCCTCACCCCCTGTAAAAGAAAGATTACTGGCATCATCAACCTGCTGTATACCTCGCTCTGTCTTTCTCCAGGCTCACAAATTTACTGATTTTCAAAGGGTGTTCCAAAGAACCCAAGGGTTTTCACTGTTGGAGAAACTGCCTCTTATAGGGAGGGAGGGAGGGAGCAGATACTAAACTGGTAGGTCTCCAACCCCTTTATTCTCCACTATGAGTAGTTCTACTTTTTTCTGTTCTGTGTATTTGATCTTTACGTGAGATTTTATTTAAAAGAGTTTAGAGGTTTAAAAACAGTTTGAAAATAATTGAATCTTCTTCAAGGAGGTGCTTTTCAGATGTAAAATGCTTGTTGGTAGCTAACCTAGCTTTTTACCTAGGATAGGGCTCTGCCACTAAGATGTGAGAGAATGATGCCTAGATATGTCCTTGTGAATGAAGAGTTTCAGTGATACCATGACTCCTGTTACTTTGGATTCACTAATCCTTCCCTTCTTCCCTGGGTTTCAAAAAGGCTACTATTCCCAACCAAAAACCACACAGGCCTTTCTTTACCCTCTAGTATCCCAGTTGCCTATATTTTTCCTTGGGATTTTAAGGGATGAAGTATTTGTAGTAACTCTTACGGAAAGTCAAAGCTTTAACCTTGTGTAATGGGGAACATAAGCCACAATTAAGATATCCTATAATTTGAGTCTTCTTTATAGCCTTTTTGTTGGACTATGTGGAGCCAATCTACTTTTATGACTTTTCATGTAAACTAAAATCCGGAACTATTAGAATCAAGTATAGCATAACACGGTGTAAACTTCCTTTTGGCTTAGTGTCAAGGGAAAGGTATTTATCTGTAGCTTAAACAGTAAGGGTGGAGAAGGAGACTTTATGTTGACATTATTATCCTTTTCACTTAGCCAGAAACTACCATGTGTCTGCAAATTCATAACAAAATGAAGTTTCTGCAGTAAGTTTTCAAAGGGAAGAGAAGCCATTGCGAAGATCATGGCATTGTATTTCAGATAGTAGAAAGATCCTGCCAATTGTATCAGGGACAGTTTTTACTTCCCCACACCTCCACCTCCTCAGATTGGGGGAATGAAAGCATTGTCCAGTAGTTGCAAAGTATCTGGTGGTTATTCAGATGATAATGGACATTTTTACAACTAGAGCGGAAAATTATTTATTTCTGAAGGATGAATATAAGTGACCACTGTATTCCTTGTTAAAGAGAGATCTTGCTTTATTTCTTGAAGTTTTCTGGCCATTTGTAGAAAAAGGAATGTAGAGGAGCAACTAGAAAATCTTTATTTTACAAAGCTGAGATCTTGAAAGAGAAGTAATTACCAGCTTTGAGAATGTTATTTTAGTAAAGATACACTGGGAAAACCTGTTTGCTTGATAAAAATACCCATTTATTAAAACAAATGCATGCTTATTTGAACACAAATCTACCAATTTTATATTATAATATCTAATTAGTATTCAGTCTTAGCCTTTTTTGCCTATAAGACGTTTTCCTGTTAATCATAATGGTGCTTCTCTACTATATAGCACTATGGTAGAAAAGTAAGTGGATTGTTTAGAAGAAATGCATTCTTAGCATTATCTCCCTCTACATTTTCTGAAATCTAGGATACTGATGTTTTTAATAGATTTGTTTTATTTTAAAAGTAATACGGCTGGGCACTGTGGCTGACGCCTGTAATCCCAGCACTTTGGGAGGCCGAGGCAGGAGGATCATGAGGTCAGGAGACCGAGACCATCCTGGCTAACATGGTGAAACCCCATCTCTACTAAAAATACAAAAAATTAACTGGGTGTGGTAGCAGGTGCTTGTAGTCCCAGCTACTCGGGAGGCTGAGGCAGGAGAATGGTGTGAACCCAGGAGGCGGAGCTTGCAGTGAGCTGAGATTGCGCCACTGCACTCCAGCCTGGGCGACAGAGCGAGACTCCATCTCAAAAAAAAAAAAAAAAAAAAATTTATTTTAGAGAAATGGGTAAATACTAAAAATTACAAAGGAAAAAATACAAATCTCTGTGATTCCACCATCCAGAGATACTCACTAGTAATATTTTACAGTATTTTCTTTCACACACACACACATGCATATATTGGGATTGTGGTGCGTGTATAGTTTTGTAGCCTGCACAAGAATTTATCATGAAAAATGTCAAGGATATTTTGAAATAAATATTTAGCAGCAAATTCAGTACAGTGAACCCCCACATAAGCCACCTTAATTAAAAATTATGAAAGTTTTGCTCCTTTTGCTTTCTCTCTGCCTCTTTTTTTTTTTTTTTTTCCTTTGCTGCAGTATTTTAAGGCAAATCCCAAACATCATGTTATTTTTATCCTCATATAGTTCGATATCCGTGTCTAAATATATGGGCCTTATCTTACTGATCACATGCCATTATTATACCTAACGAAATTCATCTAATGTAATCTCTGCTACCTAAAACTGGTTCAGATAGAGATTTTCCTGATTGTTTTGCTTTTTGTGCTTACTATTTTGGGGAAATATTGTAGTTTCAGCTATAACGTGATTAAAAATTAAAGACTTAAATTATTCTCTCTAACTTTCTTGGATAGCTTTCCTTTATTTCTAGCAGTTGAATAGCCTGTTTACCCAACTCTACTTGTCCTGGTGTTCTAATAATTTAAATGAAAGTTCTGACAGTGCTTTACTCCAAAAGGACCTGTGCTATCTTCTTTGTTAAAGTCTACAGAAGGAACTAGTCTAAGTAGGAAGTTATCCAGGAAGCATTTGACCTCTGACAGGCCACTGTAAACTTTTCTGTTTCTTGTGAATGTTATCAGAAAAAGTGCTTAGATTCTCTTGGGCCCACAATGCATGACTCTCCAAGGAGAGAGATATGCTCCAGCCCTGGACATGTGTCAGGCTGGCTGGCTGACTTTCTTTCTTTCTTCCTTTCTTCCTTTCTTCCCTTCTTCCCTTTCTTCCCTTTCTTCCCTTTCTTCCCTTTCTTCCCTTTCTTCCCTTTCTTCTCTTTCTTCTCCTTCCTTCCTTCCTTCCTTCCTTCCTTCCTTCCTTCCTTCCTTCCTTCCTTCCTTCCTTCCTTTCTCTCTCTCTCTCTCTCTCTCTCTCTCTTTCTTCCTTTCTTCCTTTCTTCCTTTCTTCCTTT